TGATGTTGGTTCGGATAGCTCTTTCAGCGGCTGGGCTGTCAGCAGCCCCCTGGGGGGGATCGAAGCCTTTGGTACCTGGGGAGTAGCTGCTGGTTTTTAATTGATGTGTTGCCAGGAACAGAATTCCCCAGGCCCTAACATTAGCTCTTCAGAGGAGTTTTTGTATACAGCATTCAGAATACTTGTGAAGTATTGCGTAATCATCATCAATATTGCATGCGTAAGACTTTTCCCTATTTGTGGCAATCGCCACCTTAATACTCAGTAACTTAGGAAAGATACTAAGTTACTTAGGAAAGACACAATAAGGCAGACATTTAGAGCCAGTTTTTATATACGGTAACAGTTTCTTTTCTAACTTTCTAGCCTTCTCAGGGAATGATATATTGCAAATAGTATATTTCTCTAGTGTCTAAAGTCTGTACCTCTTGAAGTACAAAATTTAAAGATTTTAAACTTTTCTGATATAGCCTTGGTTTTTTTAAATGTGTCATATTTAGGCCAGGCACGGTGGCTCACGCCTGCAATCCCAGCACTTTGGGAGGCCAAGGCGGGCGGATCACAAGATCAGGAGATTGAGACCATCCTAGCTAACACGGTGAAACCCCGTCTCTTCTAAAAATACAAAATTAGCTGGGCATGGTGGCATATGCCTGTAGTCCCAGCGCTAGGGAGGCTGAGGCAGGAGAATCGCTTGAACCTGGGAGGTGGAGGTTGCAGTGAGCCAAGATTGTGCCACTGCACTCCAGCGAGACTCCATCTCAAAAAAAAGTGACATATTTAATGTAATATTTTTATTTTCATGACTTGATATGGTCAGTACAGGAGACTGTAGGATAACACTGCAGCTCAGTGATACCCTCAAGGCAGTAGAGATACACAGGGTTGGCCCTTTGTCCCCTTCACTAACTGTCCCCAAATAGCTATATTGTTATTCCCCGGAGCCTTTCATTTCTCGCTTTTGCCTCAAGCTCTTTTGCTTCCAATCCATAGCCTTATTTCTCATACAGTAGGAGTAAGAACTTGGACGTGGCCCTCCTTTTTTGAAAAGTTAAGCACAGGGGTGCCACCGCTCAGAGACCCTCTTCCTTTACTCCAGAATTCTTTTCTGTCTGTGGTGGCAGATGGAGGAAGATGGCACCCACAGTTTTCCAGGTGTTGCTGGAGTTGACATGAAGTGGAGTTGCCACTTGGGAAAACACCTTCTGGCCTGTATGAGGACCTCCAGGTTATAGACGCCTTGCATGTATCAGAAGGCGAGGGAGGGCCCTTTATTTCCTGGCTTGCCACTGCTCTTGTTTCTATTTTACCAAGCCACTGGTGGTTGGTAGAGCAACCTAAGCTTTTTGCCTTCCAGTCTCAAGAGGGAAATATGGCCTGTTTTGCTATGTATTACCCCTGAGGTAAGCAGGAGATGCCAACATGATACCATAGCAAAGAATCAACCACCCTGAAGTTAAATCTCTGGATTTCTGAGCACTTCCGAGGATACTTTGGCAACCCTCATCATGCATGTAATTTCCTGTTTAATGTGTATCTTTCATAACAGACTGTGAGCATCAAGAAACTGGGACTGTGTGTCTTCTCACGATAGCCCCAGGGCCATCAAAGTGCCTGACACATTGTGAGTGCTCAGAATAGTTGTTAGATTAAGTTTGAAAGGGTACTTCATTGACTGTCTCGTCTGAACAGCCTGGCGAGCATATTTAGTGGACAGAGATAGCCTTTGGACTAGGTGTTTGAGCTTGAAGAAAGGTTTTTAGGGTGGCGAAATTAGTTCTGTCTCCTGCAAGGCTGATTGGAAAGTCTGCACCACCTTTCTGGCTTTCACCTCTGACTGTAGTCCAATCAGCAAGTGTCGCACCCTTCTAGGTGTTGCGATGGCTGGAAACTTATTGCAAGATGTTGCTCTTGCCAAGAACAAGTGTATACTCCAGATAGGGAGGCAGCTGCGCTCTCTTAGGTGAAATATGATAAACACTCATACGTCTCATGGGATCGAGAGGATGGACAATGCAGACTAGAACGAAGACTAGGACCTCCACAGTGGATTCTTAGATATGTAGGTGACACAGACTCTTACCTTCTGCCTGTCTTTAGAGGACAGAGTCATTTGCACAGAAATCCTGGATTATTTTCTTACTAGTTTATACTGAAACTTCTCTACCCTGGTCCTCTCTGTTGAGCTAGCTGCAGTCTGGGCAAAATAGATATTTGATATCTTCCCATGATGACTATTTTTTTTCTTTTCCTGTCCCATTTTTCCACGTTATTGTTTTCCTCTTTCAGCCCCAATATATCAGTTTTCTTCACATGCCCTTTTCCGCCTGCCCAGGCCTCAGGCCTCCAGCCTCCCCTCCCCCTGCATGCCTGTTGCCCATCTGACTATGCACTGCCCAGGCAGGAGCCTGCCCAGCCTCCTTCTACTCACTTTTTTGTACCAACTACATCTATGGCCCTTCTCTTCTGGGCTTTGCTTTGCATTTTCCAAGGTGAGGTGAATTTTTGAATAATGCATTTATTTGCTTGTCAAACATTTCCGCTTTACAATGAAAGTGCCATGATGGGCACTACAGACAAGCAATGTCATGAGGATCCACCTCTCCAGAAACTCTAGGCCATCAGGAAAGGACATCAATGCTTACCTTTTTCTGAGAATCTCCTAAGATTTTTCTGAAAAAGAAAAAGAGAAAATAACTCTGAAACTTAAGTTGAGTCCTAGGATTGTAAAATTTTCATGTATATTCATAATTATACACCAAGAGGGAGACAATGGATGATCCTGATACCTTACATGGAGAAGGAACTGATCATGGGGTGGAAGAAATTTACATCCCTGTTTATCCTGACCTTATCCGGCTCACGGTTGGTAGGAGTAAGACATTGGAAGGTATTATTCAATACAGTCTTGTCTAGTTCCAAGAATGCCTCAGTCATCTGAAGAGCTGTAAATACCAGATTTCTTTTTTCCCCCATCTTTTCACAGGTGTTGAAAATATCAGATTTCTTTGGGAGATAGGAGGAGTCTTATAGGACTCAGAAACCATCATCACTGGTCAAAAGAGATGCTTCCCCTTCTATAAGGAGTGACAGGAGCAAAAGCTGTGAGACATGGTGAGCAACAGGCCAGTGGGAGGCAAGGCTCCGTCTCTGCTGCAGTGGGCCCTGCTGGTCTCCTCTTTTCACTAGGGGAAGCAGTGAGGGACCATAATTCTCTCTCTCTCTCTCTCTTTTTTTTTTTTTTTGAGATGGAGTCTTGCTCTGTCGCCCAGGCTGGAGTGCAGCAGCACAGTCTCAGCTCACTGCAATCTCTGCCTCCCAAGTAGCTGGGATTAGAGCCACCTGCCACCATGCCCGGCTAATTTTTGTATTTTTAGTAGAGATGGGGTTTCACCATGTTGGCCAGGCAGCTCTGGAACTCCTGATCTCAGGTGATCTGCCTGCCTTGGCCTTCCAGAGTGCTGGGATTACAAGCATGAGCCACTGTGCCCGGCCTTTTTTTTTTCTTTTCTTTTTATTAGTCACAGGTCACTGCAGCCAACCTCCTGGGCTCAAGTGGTCCTCCCACATCAATCGCCTGAGCATCTTGGACTACAGGCATGTGCCATAATGCCTGGCTAAGTTTTGTAGCGATGGAGTTTCACCATGTTGCCCAGGCTGGTCTCAAACTCTTGAACTCAAGTGATCGTCCCACCTTGATCTCCCAAAGTGCTGGGATTACAGGCATGAGCCACTGTGCCCGGCTTTATAATTCTCTTGAGCAGTGTGGTCATGGGGCATGTTTGGGAATAGTGGGGACCCAGTGTGGAGCTTGAACTGCTAATAACCCAGTGCTGACCTGGTGGAGAATCAAGAATTAAAGACCCTGTGGTTTTACCATTAATTGTTTCCCAGGTTTGATAGGCACAGGAAATAAAGATTACATAAAGAAGAAAAAAACTATGGTTCTTGCTCTCAGAATCACAGTGCGATGGGGTGGTTGGGATAACTGACACACACATAACACAGGGGAGTGAACAGAGTTGGGGCGATGGGAAAGGAGAGAAATGTTGTGTGTACAGAGTATGGCATTGGCCAACCTCAGTGATCTGAATGGGAAGAGTAATGTTGTGGCCTCCTTGGAAATCTTTCAAAGGGATGGATGCTGTTTGTTCCTCTTTGTGACATCCATGCACTCAGTAATGCTGATGACGCCGTAAGGACTGAACACAAAATCTCTCAGATGGCAAGCTCTAGAGGGTACTTAATGCTATAGTTCAGAATTTGTCAAACTTAAATGTGCACCAGAATCACCTGTACACAAGGGCTTGTTAACACAGAGCTTGCTGGGCTTACCCACAGAGCTGATTCAGTGGCTCCAGGGTGGGGCCCAAGAATTTGCATTTCTTTGTTGTTTTCTTTTTTGAGGCAGGGTCTCACTCTGTCACCCAGACTGGAGTACAGCAGCATGATCTCAGCTCACTGCAACCTCCACCTCCCAGGCTTAAGTGATCCTCCCACCTGAGCCTCCCAAGTAGCTGGGACTATGGATGTGTGCCACCATGCCTGGCTAATTTTTGTGGGGTTTTTTTTGCGGGGGGTGGGGGGAGTTTGCCATGTTGCCCAGGCTGGTTTCCAACATCTGGGCTTAAGCAATCTGCCCTGTTTGACCTCCCCAACTGCTGGGATTATAGGCATGAGCCACCACACCCTGTCAGAATTTGCATTTCTAACAAGTCCCCAGATTATAATGGTCCAAGGACCACTCTTTGGGAACCACTGGTACAGTCATTCAGCAGCCAGTAACAGTTTGGAATAGGGAAGTAAGAGCTGTGCATTTATCATCTTAAATCGACCCATTTGGAGAGTCCATAACTGTGTGAGAAGATATGTAGGGAAATGAATTTGTAAAAGATGGATTTAGCCCAGGCAGTGGCTCTGTATTCAGTGGTGAGGTCTGATGAGAGCATCTCACTTGTCCCCTAGCTGCAATGGGACTAAGGGAGATGAACCACATAAACTATATTCCTGAAAGGAGAACACTGATCACCAGAAGCTTTAAATTATTTATGAAGCTCTAGAGCAGAATTTTAAACACAAAATATTCATTTCTTAATGACACTTTTTGTAAAGACATTTATTATTTTAGTCATCAATGACCACAACAGCTGGTAGGCGTGTCTTCTGTTCGGCCCTGGGATGCTCACCTGTACCTGTTCTGTGCTCTGGTTAAGTAGAAAAGGCCTTTCATTTTCGTGCCTTCCTGCCTTTACTCAAATGGCTCCTCTGCCTGGAATTATCTCCCCTTCCCTATCCTATAGCTATTTGAGCAATTCTTTACCTCAAAGCTTTGGTTGCCTTAAATGCTGGCAGGCCTGTTTCTGACAACAGATGTTTTTCAGTTTTAGAAGCAAAGATGCTATCTCTAGTTTTTCACAGGCCCATTAATCATGCTAATAGAACCCCACAGCACCCAAGGCTTTCTCCAAGTGAGAGTGTGCAAACAGCCTCTAATCAGCACGTAGGCTACCTGTCATTTGCTCATGATTTCTCGTTTCCCTTCTCGGAGCTTCCAAAAGCAAGTGTTGTGACAGAAGAGGAGATGATTCAGTCCAGACCTGATGGGAAAACAGGATATAAAATCCAATACCACTCATGTGTGCAATGAACAGTAAAGACAACCTATATTTAAATGGCATGAATCTTGATAATTATCTCTGGAAGTATCTAGCCTCTCAATCTGAATGCATCCTCAGGATGTGAAACACATTCTAATACTTTAAGCACTAGTCTCATAAACAGTGCATACTCTAAGTGCATGACATTCTCAGCAATACATTCACTTTTGCCAAGGTTCATGTGCCCAGATGACCCCGCTTCATTACAAAGACTGCAAACAAATTTGAAGTAAAAATTCTGAATTCTTAGCTAGTCTCTGCAGGGCAATGATTAAAACGGTGTCCACCAATGTGACCCCTACTGTCTTCAAGACGTCACTCATTAGGTCTTCAGCCATTTGAAGGGAGAAGTTTGGGTTTGAGTCAGTGTCACAATTTATTAACTTTGCAATCGTGGGGAACCAGGCCATCTTTTACTCTACAAATGGATGCTAATGACTAATATCTAACACATCTTGTTGCCTCTGCAGGGCCGTTGTGAAGATCAATTGAATCGTGGGTCTCCTTGTAAACAGCAAAGTAGAGTGGAAATATTAGTTAATGCTATTATTTTGATCACTCACTTCTTGCTGCCTACTCCAAAGCCAGAGATCTTATGTTTTACCTGACAAACTGAAAGGTTTTGTTTGTTTTGTTTGGAGACAGGGTCTTGCTCCATCACCCAGGCTGGAGTGCAGTGGCATGATCTTGGATTCTAATCTCTGCCTCTTGGGCTCAAGTGATCCTCTTGCCTTAGCCTCCCGAGTAGCTGTAACTACAGGTTTGTGCCACCATACCCGGCTAATTTTTGTATTTTATGAGACAGGTTTTCGCCCTGTTGCCCAGGCTGGTTGGTCTCAAGCTCCTGAGCTCAGGTGATCTGCCTGCCTTGGCCTCCCAAAGTACTGGGATTACAGGCATGAGCTACTGTACCCAACCTGAAAGATATTTCTTATGTTTATGTCAAAAATACTCAGTTAGTCTAGTCCTGGATTATAACCTGAGGTGACTGGGGCTTGGCTGGAAATGTGCACCGGCTTTCAGTTGTGATATTTACTTGAGATGTTGTGATTAGGATATGGAAAGACTTAGGCCCGACAAATTTGATTCAGGCCACTGATGTTCCCAGTGTGATCCTTAGGGAAGTCTCTTTGTTTATACAATTGTGGGCTCTTTGGATTGGAGGGACTACGGCTTTTGGATTAGCAGTAGCTAGTCTAGCATTTCGTACGTTTCAGAAACCCAAGTCACAGCATCGTGGCGAATGTCTTGCTTGGATACCTCTAGAGTTCTATGGGCTCATCCCCTCAATAGCTCATTTTATTGCTTGATATTTCCAGTTTTTGTAATATCCTTTCAACTTTTGAGCCAAAATTGGCCTCTGTTTTACTTCCAACTGCTGATGCTCCTTGACTTACAATGGGGTTACGTGTTCAACCCATCATAAGTTGAAAATACAAGGTGTGCTTAATGCAGCCAGCCAACCTAACGTCACAGCCTCACCTAGCCTACTTTAAGCATGCTCAGAACACTTAAACATGAGCCAACATTTGGGCAAAATCATCTAACACAAAGCCTATTTATAATAATAAAATGTTGAATATCTCATGTAGTTTATTGACTCCTGTACTGAAAGTGAAAAACAGAATGGTTGTGTGGATACTAGATGTGCAGTTTCAAATAAATGCATATAGCTTTTGTATCATTATAGGCAAAATCGTAAGTCAAACCATTGTAGCCTGGGACATCTGTGTGGACTTGCATTCCTTCCTCTGAGAGAACACACTGAAGGCTGCTCCCTTCTTGATATGGCAGGGCTTCCTGAGGACATAATGCACAGCTAGCATGCTTCTGGCAGGTCTTCTCTTGTTTAAATTAAACATACCCTGGTTTTGTAACTGTGCTTTGTTGATATGATTTCCAAAACTACCTGACAATCCTGGTTCCCTCTTCTGAATGAGAAGCATGAATGTTTGTAATGTGGTTGTCGGGGCAATAATAGACGGGTAGGGAGCAACTAGGTCTTTGATGGTCTTGTAATACAGTAAACTTTTCTCTGAAGGGTCCCCCACCCCCTCACTGCAGCACACAACTACAAGAATTCAAAAATTCCAACACAACAGTGACTGAACCTCTAGCATTCCAAGGCTCCCAGAAATCAACACAGTGACATCAGGCTACAGGGGCAGGCTGATACTGTCTGATGGGCAGGATACACTCACTTGATCTTGTTCCTACTGATTATTGCTTTTTTAAAGTGATGGAATTCTTCTCATTAATTCTATGCAAATGTTAAGCAGCAGATAATGTAGGAAGTTGGATGCAGTGACAAAGTACACAGGCAGAGAGTTCCAAGTTGAAATATGACTTTGAGCTTTGTCGCTTTACATCTCGGAGTCTCCGTTTTCTGACTTGTAAAATGAGGATGATCATTCCTGCCTCATGAAGTTGATGTGATGACTAAATGCACTATTTTCGAAATAGAGCCTGGATTATAGTAGGTGCTTATGAGTGGACTCTGATGTTCTTTTTTTGTTTTGTTTTCTTTTTTCTTTTGAGACAGAGTCTTGCTCTATTGCCCAGGCTGGAGTGCAGTGGTGCAATCTCGGCTCACTGCAACCTCTGCCTCCTGGGTTCAAGTGATTCTCCTGCCTCAGCCTCCCGAGTAGCTGGGATTACAGGTGTGCACCACCATGCCTGGCTAATTTTTGTATTTTTAGTAGAGATGGGGTTTCACCATATTGGCCAGGCTGGTCTCAAACTCCTGATCACCCTGGCCTGCCTTGGCCTCCCAAAGTGCTGGAATTACAGGTATGAGCCACCGCTCCTGTCAACTCTGATGTTCTTTTTTTTTAGACAGAGTCTTGCTCTGTCACCAGGCACCAGGGTGGAGTGCAGTGGCACAATCTTAGCTCACTGCAACCTCCGCCTCCCGGGTTCAAGCAATTCTCCTGCCTCAGCTTCCCGAGTAGCTGGGACTAGAGGCGCACGCCACCACGTCCAGCTAATTTTTTTTTTTTTTTTTTTTTAAGTAGAGATGCGGTTTTACCATGTTGGCCAGTATGGTCTTGATCTCTTGACCTCTGATGTTCTTAGCACATGAACTTTCTGTGTTTACCTTCCTCCTTCCAAAGCAATCCAGGTAAAAGTGTTAAGTCATTCTGGTGTGGTGATAAGAGCCCAGAAGAATCAAAAGCGGGCATTGGCAAAGCTCTCTTTGTAAAAGGCCAGATGTGATTACTTTAAATTTAAATAGCCACATATGTAGTGACTATTGTGAACATAGAAACTTTAGAGCACGTGAATTAGAATTGTGGCATGTAAGGCTAAGCCTAGTCTGTGGACTGAGTGACAGACCAATGGGCAATAGGGAAACATTTCATGTTTCACAACTGGAGAATATTAAGAGCAGAAATGTGGAGAACACCACAGTGACCAGCCACTGACACCCTCATGCAGGACAGACAGGAATTGCAGAAAACTTTGTGGATTATACTGACCCTGATGCAACTACTCAGCAGTAACATTTGAGTGCAAAAGCAGCCATAGACAATAATGAAATGAATCGGTGTGGTTGTGTTCCAATAAAGTTTTATTTACAAAAACAGGCAGCTGGCTGAATTTGACCCACAGGCCATAGTTGTCAATCCTAATCTACAGTCTTGTTTTCTTAAAATTGTAGTAAGAGTGCTGCTATTGTTTGAATATTTGTCCCCACTCAAATCTCACGCTGAGATGTAATCCCCACTGGTGGGAGCTGTGTGGGTCACGGGGTTGTATTCCTCATAGTGTGGTGGTGTCCTTGAGATATGAGTGAGTTCTCCTGAGATCTGGTCACTTAATGTGTGGTGCCTCCTCCTCCTGACTCGTGCTCTCTTGCTCCCTCTCTTGCCAGGCGATGTGCCTTCTCCTGCTTCACCTTCCACCGGGAGTAAAAGCTCCCTGAGGCCTTCCTGGAAGCTGAGCAGATCTCGGCACCATGCTTCCTGTAAAGACTACAGAACTGTTAACCATTTAAATATCTTTTCTTTATAAATTACCCAGTCTCAGGTGTTTATTTACAACAATGCAAGAACAGCCTGATAGAAACACTTAACATAAAATCTACCTTAACAAATTATTACGTGTACAATATAGTATTGATGACTATACTTGTAATGTGGTACAAAAGATCTCTAGAACTTGCTTATCTTGTGTAACTGAAACTTTATACCCACTGAATAACAGCTACCATTCCCTGAACACCTTGCAGCCCCTGCCAGCCACCATTCTATATGAGTTTGACTATTTTAGATACATCATGTAAGTGGAATCATGTAGTATTTGTCTTTCTGAGACTCGTTTGTTTTACTTAGCATAATGTCCTCAAAGTTCATCC